CCAGGAGAAAAATGACTCAGGGAGAGAGTGTGAGAATGAGTTAAGAAATGGATTTTGCCTGTGGATAGTGGCTGGTGGTGGTCCACACCTTTAATCCCATCATTGGGGAGGTAGAGGCAGGTAGATCTCTGTGAGTTTGAGGTCAGCCTGATTGGTCTACAGAGTGAGTTTCAGGACAGTCAGGACTGTACAGAGTGATCCTGCTGAGAGGTAGATGCTGTATACATGGGGACTTTGAGCTTTGAGTGTGCTGTTGTTACGTACATGTATTCAATTACTTGACTTTATTTACCACAGGGTTAGTTGGATCCTGAGCTGGTTAAAGATTTCTGTCAATACTTTGCTTTTGTTTTTCACTATTTGGCTGTATACCATTTTAAGTTTGCAATCATACAAGTATTGATCAGAAATAATAACTTGTAAGAACTAGTGGTAAAATATAAATGCTTTATGAGCCCCACAGAGTGACTTCCCACAAAGACTTCTGTCTGACCTTGCCATTGGTGCTTAGGACTTTTTTAGAAGAGAGTGTGAGTACTTGTAGTTTGTCTTTGAATTTTTGTGTGTGTACATGATAAAGAGCCACACAATTAGGTATTATAAATAGGATATGTGAAAAAAGACAAATCATGTTTCCAAGATTTTATAGCCGGTGCTCAGTACTGTTTTGCTAGTCTTTAATTTCACTCTTTGGTCTAACCAGCTGACGCCCAGTTCTGATGAAGACTTATGTTCTGATGAAGCCACAACAGCCTTAATGTTCATTCTGCAGCTACCCCAGTTTCTGGAGAACACCGTGTACGGTCAGCAGCTTTAGTCCCCACCCTCCAACACTAAAGCTCATCTATCAAACTTGAGGCCGAGAGTGAGGGAGAGGAAGCTTCCAGATAAACACACAGCAGCGCCTAAACAGCTAATCACTCTGGGCTTCCGCTTCCAGGCCCTATAATTAGAAGCCCGTCTTTTCCTTGTATTCCCAGATGACGCAAATGCTTTTTGTGGCTTGGCACCTCGTTTGGGGCGTGGGTTTAGTTTATGGCCAGGCCAGCGTCTGGTTTAGTCTTCTGATGCCGCATAAATAGTTCCCAAGCCACAGTCTACCCTGTATGACTTTTCCCTTTTATGTATATGTGCTTTTAAAATGATTTTCTAGAAAAAAAAAGAGCTTCCTAATTCCTTTGCAGAATATATGTAAAAGAGGCCATTGAGCAAATTGGCAAAGAATGGGCTGGCAAAACCAGCAGAGACAGCTGATCTGAACAGGGGAGTGCTCTTGGACCCCAGACCGACAGTGGGGAGGCCAGAATGGGACTGATCTGGACCCCCCAAATGTGAGTGTCAGTGAGAAGGCCTGGACAACCTATGGGGCTCTGAGCTGTGGATCAGTGTCTATCCCTGGTATACAATCTGTCTTCATGTGCCTATAGCACAAAGAGAGATGCTCTCTCAGCCTGGACTCTTAGGGGAGTGCCTTGACCCTACCAAGAGTAAAATGATAGACTCTAGACATCCCCTATGTGGAAGGATTTGGCAATAGGGTGGGAGGGAGGGTGGAAGGGGAGTGCGGGAGGAGGGGAGGGAGAGGGAACTGGGATTGACATGTAAAACAAGCTATTTAAAATTAAAATAAAAAAAAAGAAAAAAAAAAGAGGCCATTGTAAATGAAGAGAGCACTTGACCGCAGCACTGAACTAGCTGCTTCCTCCTTTTCTTCTGCCTTTTAAGTTTTGTGAAGCATGGGTTAGGAAGCCAGGTTTGTTTCAAGGAATGGAAGAGGATAGTATCTGAGGAAGGAAACACATATGTATCTTAGAAGTAAATATGTTAGGGACTGTTGTCCTAAAGGTTTGGAATGGTTTATAGGAACAACTAGGCAGATCTGTGTTGAGAAATACTCATGCGTGATTGCTATTCATTTGTGGGACAGTAGTGGCCTTGATTTGTTTGGTCAGTGTTTCATTCAAATGCTCATTTTGAGTAGAGTGCTGGTCTGAAAAAAAGTATATTGCTATTTATCTGTAGTATGGGAGTGTATATTTAGTATGAATATACTCCTCTTTTTTTTCTCCCTTTACAATGATGTTCTTTTGTTTGTCAAGTGCCCCAAACTGGTTTTTGTGGAAAGGTAGAATCAGAGGATACCTATTGAGTTGTGCTTACTAAAACTTACTGTAACTGAACAAAAAACCAGGAGTGGAAAAAGAATGCTTTCAGTATAACAAGTGCTTGTGACTAATCATAGGCATCCATAGCTTGAGTCACAGTAAGGAATGAATGGCAAATGTGTCAGTGACCTTCTGCCATAACTAGGTGCTTGGTGAGAGAGAAGCTAATATGTGTTTTAAGCAGTTATTACTTACAATAATTGGTACTTTTCATCATTTAAAATGTACATAGATAGGAAAATGGCATCTGTTACTTAGTTTGTTACCAGGGCTACATTTAACCAAGGAAACTGCACACTCTAATGGATGGCATTCTCCTGTGTTAGTGAGGATCTTACCTCCTGTGCTACCCATTCATGCCCTTTTATCACTACAAGACAGTAAAACACTCTACACAAAAAATGCAAAGTGACAGATCCTGGGAGCTAGGTGCATACAATATACCCTCTGCAGCAGTTAGCTTATATTACAAAGGGATTGGGCCTCAAAACCATAGCTTAAAGCCAAAAACTAAATAATTAAAAAGAAAGATTTCTTACTTCCCTGGTAGGGGAGATAGCATGATAAAGAAGGTGGTTTCATCTATTGTACTATGGGTCTGCTGACCTCTGCGATTTCCTCAAATTAGGGAAACTCAAAAATAATTTGTGGTAGCTTCGATATTCCCCCAGCACACTTACAGAGTGATTCTAAAGAGCTGGGGCTGAGATGGTGCACACCTTTAATCCTAGAACTTCTATATCATTATTCTAACGCAATATGTGCTTTGGGGAGGCAGAGACAGGTTGATCTCTGAGTTTGTGGGCAGCCTACTCTACAGAGTGCACCTCAGGACAACCAAGACTCGAGAGAAACTCTGTCTAGAAAAACTCCTACTACCACTATTACTAGTTCTACTACTAATAGTAGCAGCAGCAGCAGCAGCAGTAATATAGAATCCAAAATAGAAAAAAGTATGTATGAGAGATAATCACTCTTCTGTACAAAGCCAACCAAAGAAAAAGAAGCAAGGAGACAAGCAGATTAGCTAAACAACCCCACCAAAAATGAACTAAGTGAGTATGGAGTAGATAGAATATTAAAGTTATACTGGACCTATAATCTGAAAAAGCAGCATGAAGTAGATTTTGTCTATATTCCCAGCAGGAGGATCAGATTTTAGAATTCAAGTATGAGTTAACACAGGGACCTCTATACATTATTCAGAAAAAAGAACATCTTAATATTTGAAGTAGCTAGGCACAGAAGCACAAATCCCAAGCAATGTCACATATGGGACCTACAGTTCCATGTGCAGTGGTTGCCACCGAGCATAGGGAAGTCTGGTGTGCTGTGGATGGTGGTAATAACTGCGGATGACAGCACCATGGTGTATGTTTGTTAACAATGCCTGTGTGAGTCTTCACCATAAGGACATGATTTAATCACACAATGTATAGCAGTGTCCAACCATGCAACCTTTCTCTAGTACAATTTCTGTGTTTTAGTGTATCACTTAAAATAAGTTTAATTTCCGAAAGGTATTCGCCTATGTGTGGACAGCAGTTTTGTTTATTAATTTTCCTTTCATACTAGAGATTTAACCCAAATATTACGTGTGCAATGCAGGAACTCTGTAAATGTGGTTTAAATACCCAAAGAGATAACACTGGCATACACATACACACAAATCTTGTTTATTAAACCAAAGCCTTTTGTAAGGCTGTGGAAATTGGATAAGTTTGTTATTTATTGACTTACTGGCTTATGAAACAAAAACCTGAAACTAGAAAATCTTTGTGATCTTGAATTGGCCAAAGAACTCATGACCATGTCGCCTTTTCAAAGTCAAGAATATATTTTGTAGAAGGTACTATTGGCAGTTCCAGTAAATACCATGCCAGGTGTGCATGTGTATGGAATGCATGTGAGTGTGTCTGCATGTGAGTGTAGAGATCAGAGAGAAACTTGTGGGAGTTGGGTCTCTCCTTCCACCTTGTGTGTCCCTGGTTCAAATTGGCAGCAAGTGTCATGGCCTGCTAATCCATGTTGCCTACACAAATGTTTAGTTAGTTTGTTTTGGTGAAAGGATCTCAGTTGTTGTCCAGGCTGCTCTGGAACTTGATTCCCCTGCCTCTATCTTTTGACTAGCTTAGAGGAGAGATGTGTAGCACCAGTCTATCTCAGTAAAGGCTAATTTTAAATGAGTACATTACACAAGGGTCTTAGTAGTTTGACCAGTTTATTGGAACTTAAGGAGTGGGATTAAGCTCTGTGGTGGCCCAACATTTTCACATTAATTGTGTGTTTGGGTGTGTGTGTGGATGCTCATGGAAGTCAGAAGACAACGCTGGCTGCTGTACTTGGGGATGCTGTCCGCCTCCTTTGACACAGGGTCTCTCATTGATCTGGAGCTCATCACTTAGGCTAGATTGATTGGCCAGCAAGTTCCAGGAATCCTCCTGTTTCTATATCTTCAGTGCCGCACCACCAGGCCAGATACTTTTACATGAATTCTAGGGATTGAACACAGATCCTCATCGAGGCAAACCCAGCACATTACCAACCCAGCTTTCTTCCCAACCCTCACACGTTCTGACAATGGCTGTGCACGCTGTGTAAGCTCTTCATGTAAAATTTCTTTGTGCTGCTGACACAGGGACATCCTACACCTGTTTAGTGGTTGCACTCTGTTGATATTGGTGTGATGTTCATAGAAAGAATTGCTTTAATTCTTTTATTTCATAATCTTATTTCCTTTTCCCCTCACAATAAGTAAAAATACTACATGTTGTTCTGTATCTTATCCACATACATAATCATTTTATTTTTATCCTTTGCTTTTTTGTCTTCCAGGAATGCTTTTAGTCACAACAGACACTCTTGGCCATGACTTTCATGTCTTCCAAATTCTGACTCATCCTTGGTCATCATCACAAAGTGCTGTCCATCATCTGTATACTCTTCACAGGGGAGAAACCGAAGCCAAAGTAAGTTTGTGTGTTCTTCTTGAAGTGATTTCTCTGTGTAATATGGCATTTTAGATAATTGGAGATTCATATCAATTTAGAGATTAGTATTTATGAGAAAACTATTCTCTGTGGTAGAGTGTGTTCTAATAAATTAAACTTTTGACCTAATGAATACCTAAGAAAATATCCACCTTGCTGTTAAAAATGGTGGAGAGGACCGGGGAAATGGCTCAGCAGTTGAGGTCACTCCAAAGTCAGATCCTAGAACCTGCATCAGGCAGCTCACAACCCCCCTTCTTCTTCTCAGGGTTTCTCTGTGTAGCCCTGACTGTCCTGAAACTTGCTTTGTAGATCAGGCTGGCCTCGAACTCAGATCCACCTGCCTCTTCCTCCTGAGTGCTGGGATTAAAGGTGTGTGCCACCACTGCTTGGCTCAGCATTTTGTTCTTAACACCACAGTGTACTGACACACTATATATTTTTTTTCTTACTAGCCTGAAGTCTCAATTGGTGATTTGTTTTCACAGAGCTGGTAGCTCTGCACCTCTCAGCACACCATACACATACTGTTACATTTTAGGATTTGTCATTGTCATACTAGGTATGGCAACAGTGTCTGTGTTCTCACGAGTGGAAAGGTGCAGGCTAAAGGAACCAGCTGGGCTACATAATGAGGTTTGAGACCAGCATGTGCGACTGTGTGGGGAAGTTGGAGGGATACAACTAGAAGATTATTTTGTAATATGGCAAACTACTTTAACTTCATGATACTTGTCTGTCTCAATAAATAGTGAGGATTTTATTTTTAAAACAAGTTGTACTTTATTGATCCTTGTGTATTTTAGGCCTTTCACAAAGCCAGCCATATTTTTTTTCAGGTTTTAAATTTATTTTTTATGTTTTTCTGGCCTAATGGTCAAACTCACGGCCTCTTACATGCTTGGCAAGCAGTCTATCTCTGAGCTGCAGCCCAGCCCAGCCCAGGATGGCCAGCATAGCCATGCAACCCACAATGAACAGGCATTCACTACAAATGAGAACATTTTCTTACATGGCCATAAGAAACCTCTAAATTACCAAGTAAAAATAATTCTGCCATTTTAACTGTCAAACCCCTGCTAAGTGTCATTAGTCGTTTCAACAACTGGCTCACGGATCTACCCCAGGAAAAGGAATTGCCATACTTTTTGTCTGCTTCCTTCTGGAACAGTTGATTATTTCTTGTCTGTTTATAATTTCAGCACATTAAATGTTGCTTCCCATTTCTTCTCTCAGGTCTTCCTCAATTGATTTTCTCATTTTATTCTATGAAGTGGAGTGTAGTTTTCATTGGTAACTTGGGTTGTGGGTGGGGTGTTTTGTTTTTTTTTTTTTTGGTTGTTTGATTGTGTTTACTTTGTTTTGTTTTGGTTGGTTGGTTTTTTGTTGTTGTTTTCAGACAGGGTTTCTATGTGTAGCTTTGGAGCCTTTCCTGGAACTAGCTCTTGTAGACCAGGCTGGTCTCAAAGTCACAGAGATCCACCTGCCTCTGCCTCCCAAGTACTGGGATTATAGGTGTGCGCTGCCGTCGCCACCACCACCACCACCACTACCGGGCTGGGTTGTATTTTTGAGACTGGCTGGAAACTTCCTTCCCCCTGCCTCTGCCTGATGGGAATACAAACATACAGCTTTGCTAATTATTTTATCAGGATTCCAGCATATTGTTATGGTTTTCTGTGTTCTTCTTTAAAATGCATGTATTTGTTCAATAATTATTTTATTCAAAGATGTCCCGATTTGGCAAGCTGGCACTAATTTACATGGCCTCAGATATATCTCAGAAGTGTCTTGACATATCTCTGCCATGTTTTGAGCACCCTTTGATGCAGGACTGACTTGCTTTTTGTCCGGCTTAGTTGCCTTTGCATTGTGTCTTTTGCATCAGTGCTATAGAGCATTTCAGATCTCTAGACACAGTTCATTTCATTATTCTCTTTTATAATGCCTGTTTGTGGGCTGGAGAGATGGCTCAGCCATTAAAGGCTATGCTCACAACCAAAAGTAAAACTTGTTTGCCTTATAGACAATCCTCAAGCCTCATCAAAACCATTGAGCATTTGAATGTTTTAAGTGCTTGACCCCTGATTTTGAAGCCTAGTTTTATTAGTGTTTTTGTTATTTAACTTACCTGGAAGTTTGATGAGGAATAGCAGTCCTGTGTAAGGTTCTTGATGAATGACACTAAGTCTTAGGAAAGTGCTATCAATTTTTGCTATAATGGTTTGGTATTGCCAGCTGTATGCCCATTTATCTGGTATGCAAATGAACTAGAATTATTCACAATACTTTTGCTTCAGTATGTGCCCTGTAATTTGGAATTTCTAAAAACCAAACATAAAGATATAAAGACTTAAGTTGGTAACCATAAAATTAATCGTTATAAGGTCCTGCCGAAAATTATTTTGAGCTGATAAAATTTAATACCAATCATGAAATCTGTCTGACATATGATTTATCTGACCATCTTTGAATACTTGAAAAAATCATATTATTCTGAATTCTTCCAAGGGCACTTTAATCAGGCAAGGGAGAAAAATTAAGTATATGGATCTAATTACGTTGAATTAAGTTATTTTGTGGTCTTTGACTGGGGATATCCTCTGCATCTGACAGTAATTTTCCTCCTGAAGCGCATATGCCGTGAGAAGAGTGTCCTTGTTCCAGCGGCAATACGAGCCCCACTGATAGCTCTTAATAGACTCCAGCGTGGCTTCCTCAAGCCCTCTCCATACCGATACCTTGTGAATAGACTGTCATGCCTTACTCAGCCCCATTGCAGTTCATTGGATGAATAACACTTTCACTTTTGAAACATGCAAATATTAATGATTCCACATTAAAACAGTCTTGCAAAGTAGTATGATTAAAACCTTTTTTAGTTCTGAAGTGGAAATGAATCTCATTATTTATATTGTTAGTTAAGGCTATTTATCATTTGTGATAAAAATTAATTTTAGTGTCTATATTCCAAATATTATATATTTATGCTTATACTGATATAGACATGCCACCTTTTCTGTTATTTTGGAATACACGGTAAGCCTGTGCATTACTGGTTATGCCATTGTCTTCAATATATCCCTCAAGCCTCAATTTTAATAAGTGGGGAGTTACCGGCTGTCTCACTATATTCTCAGTGGTCTAGACTGTCACCTGTGTTTGGCTTCTGTACCTTTCTGTCTCTGAAAACACTTACTTTTTTCCTAGCCATCTTCTGTATTCATGACTCTCTAGCTTTCCTGTGTTCTTGGCTGTGTACTTGGGACATTACTTTCTTTAAACTTCAGGTTAATTATCTAGAAAACTGGGAGTCTACATATTTCTTAGGGCTTATTGAGGACAGGGAAGAGGAACTACCATTTTGCTTGATGTCTTCCTGAATTAGTACGATAGTTTCAATGCTAGGAGACCAAGGACAGAGAACTAGAAAGAAAATGGTAGAGATCTGAGGAGGCTCTCTGAGAATTCAGAAGGAGCGTCCATTATCAGGGAGGACATGAGTGGTCTCTGCAGAAAATATAAATTACACTTTAGAAATATGCACATAATAAATAATTTTGTTTTGTTGGTTTTTTTTTTTTTTTGAAACAGGGTTTCTCTGTGGCTTTGGAGGCTGTCCTGGAACTAGCTCTTGTAGACCAGGCTGGTCTCGAACTCACAGAGATCCGCCTACGTCTGCCTCCCGAGTACTGGGATTAAAGACGAGGCCGCGTGTGTGTGCGTGCGTGTGTGCATGCACGTGTACACACACACACACACACACACACACGCACACTTAAGTATTTTGTCATGGCTACAAGAAAAGTAACTAATACACTAAGTAAGTACTCTGCCAACCTAACTAGTTCATTGTTGTTAAATGGAATCATGGATGCAAGACAGCTTCTGTCATTTTCCTTTTTCTCTTAATGGTTTCTTCCAAAGGGCAAAAGTGTTTCACTTTAATGAGCCAAAGTTTATAAATTATATGCTTTACAGGGTTTTGCTATTACTGTCACATTTTCTAAAAACTGTGCCAAACCTATGGAACATTAGTTTCTTTAGCTTCCTTATAAAAGCTTTATGGTTATTGGTACAGAGTCATCTATCATTCCTGTAAGTTTACTTAGTCAACAATCAACTGTGTATATAGGTTACAACATTCAAAAATCCTTCTTAAGTATTTGTTTGGATTTTTTTGATTTGTTTTGTATTGAATTGAGACAGGGTTTCACTCTGAATCCTTGGTGGTCCTAGAACTCATAATGAAGAATGGGCTGGCCTTGAACTTGAAGTAATCCTCTTGCCTCTCCCTCCTGAGTCCTGAGATTTTAGTCATTTATCATGCCACATTTGATTTTGTAAATTCATTAAGTCTCGATATATGCAAGGCAGATAAAGTTTTAAAACTAGCTGATAAATGCTACAGGAAAAAAATCCCACTGCAATTTTGATATGTGTTTCCAAATCCTAACAGTAAGTTGATAATTGTGATAGGAATTACAAACGAAGTAAATTGACAATGTGAAGCTATCTTGTACTCCAGGAAGAGAAAAATAGTTAAAATTTCCATAGTCAGGCCTTCATGTGCTCTCAGCAGTGCTTTCTAACCCCCAGAGCCTTGATAATGTAGCGTTTTGGAGACTAAGATATATTTAAACTTATTGTTAGGATTTGGAAATTTTCTTTCTCTCTCTCTCTCTCTCTCTCTCTCTCTCTCTCTCTCTCTCTCTCTCTCTCTCTCTCTCTCTCTCCTCCCTCCCTCCCTCCCTCCCTCCCTCCCTCCCTCCCTCCCTCCCTCCCTCCCTCCCTCCCTCCCTCCCTCCCTCCCTCCCTCCCTCCCTCTCTCTCTCTCTCTCTCTCTCTCTCTCTGTCTCTCTCTCTGTATGTGTATATGCGTTTCCCTTTGTGTTTCTCCATCAGGATTGTGCCTTTCTTTACCTGCTGAACCACCTCACCCAACTAACTCACTTGGCTGTTTTTTCAGTTCTGGACTC